ATCTAATCTCTTTTCCCTTTCTTACTTGTTTTGGAGGTTCAACCACTGTCTGATCTCCGTCATAAAAACCAGAAAGCTTCATTCTTTGTTTCTCTGTAAGGAATAAATAATTTCAAAATGCATAATTAACAAAATAGGAGGAGGTATTCTATAGAAGAGAAGAGAGAGCGAAGGGAAGACTGATGGGGAATCGGAGGATCTTCCATTACCTCCTGAGGTGTCCTGACTTGGATCTTCCCAAGGGATCCTCCTGAAAAATAGCTCCTGGGGGGGATTTGATGGGTTCTTCTTTCCCTCAGGATCTCTTATCTCCACAGTTCAAATAGGAGGAAGGAAAAAAGAAGCAGAATTAATATACGTCACTCCACACAAAGTGGTTTCTTATATTCGGAACACAACCTCAAAGCCCCCAATATCCATCCGTGTGGCTGAGTGAGAAAACAGTGGAACAATGTCCTACAAGAACTGAAGAATTGGCTCATATTATGAACGTGGGAGAAGTTTGGGAAGGAGGGGGTGAAGCATTCAAACACTTTCTCTATTTATTCCCTTCTGAGCTCCCTAAAATCTCCCACCTGCCCCTGGAGCAGCTCCTTCTCCTCCTCCGCCTGGCTCAGGAGGAAGCCTTCCGCCAGGGCCACCGCCTGGGAGCTGCTCTCTGCTCCACACTCCCGCACCCAGCCCTTCATCTCTGGGGGCAGGAGAGCCAGGAGCCGCTCCAGAACCACCAGGTCCAGCATCTGAGCTTTGCTGTGCTTTCCTGGCCTCAGCCATCGCCTGCACAAGTCATGGAGTCTGCTGCAAAGTCCTCGAGGACCCTCAGCCTCCCGGTATCGGATGGAGGTCCAGGGCTGAACTTCAGAGGGGAGGTTGGTTCCCTCCTGCAGGACCTTCTGCCCGGTTCTGGTCCAGCTCTCCCCACAGCTCCCAGGCTGAAGAGTCATGAGGCCTTTTCCGCTCCCCTCCTTGGCCAAAGGGGGTGTCTCCATCCTTCCTCTCTCCCGCAGAGCAACTCCAAAGGACTTCAGGGACTCTTCCTTCAAGGGACCATTTCTGGGGCCGCAGGACGGATCCCTGCCGGTGATTCCGCTCCCTTCCTTCTTTCTTTCCTACACAGAGAAAATCCTGGCTTGCAAAGGCTGCCGAGGGCTCCGAGGTTCCGGATCTGGGAGGGAGAGAAAAAACAACGCCCAGGATCAGAAAGGGGGATTCAGTCCCTGGACCCCCTTTTCCAAACCTGCCCGGAGCTCCAAGCGGCTCGTCCAGCCGCAGGGGCAGCCCCCCCCCCCGAACACGGCCGGGAAGCTGGCAGTTGGAGAGGCCGCCTCGTCTCGCTTCTCTCCCCCTCCGGAGAGAGGACCGGGGCCCCCGGGGAGCCCGGTGCGAATCCTGCCTCTTCCTCCTCGCCCAGCTTCTCTCCTTTCCTCCTGGGCCTGCACCAGCCTCGCCCTCCCCTCACGTGGCATGGAGAGGGCGTCTGTGGGGCATGGGACCCGGGAAGAGCCCCCCCCTCACCCGGTGCACGTCTGGATGTCTCTCAGCCAGACTCTTCCCGCAGCCTCCCTGCCTCCTGCGACGCCCCAGTTGAGGACAGCGAGTGCGGCACCCTAGAGAGGCAAGGCTCAGTGATGTCACTTCCTTCACCTCCTCCTCCTCCTCCTCCTCCTCCTCTGGGAAGGCAGCCGTGACTTTCGCCCTCCAATGGCCCAATGGGGAAGTGCCTGGAATATTCCCTTCGGCGGAGGCCGCCCCCTGGTGGACTTGGGGCAAAGGGCCAGGAGGGTAGAAAGGGCGGGAAAGTGGAGCGCATGGGAGGGGGCGGGGATGATGGGCTTGGGAGTAGCGGGAAAGGCTCCTCTCCGAGGCTCCCTGTCAAGGACTGCAGAGGCGGCTCTTTCTCCGCCTTCCTCTCCTTCCTGCCCAGGAACCGTCGGTGGAGACGGAGGAAAAAAGCCTCTCGGGGGGATCCGAACTCGCCTCCCTCAGGAACCGCCGCCTTGGCTCCGGCGCGGAGGAGGGGAAGCGGGCGAAGAAGCCGAGGGAGGAGGAGGAGATTCCGGGCCTTTCGCCTCAGGGAGACTCGCGGGGCTGCGACTCCCAGGACGGAGCCGCCGCTTCTCTGCGCCCGCCGCCCGAGGCAGGAGGAGCCCTTGGGCCGCCCCGGAGAAACGGGGACTCCGACCGCCTCCCTGGAAGCCCCCCCAGGCCGGATCCCCTCGGATGTTTCGCCCCACTGGTCCCCCTTTCCCTTCCAGGGGGACCGACCGGGGCCCCTTCCCCGAAATCTGCAGGCAGGACGGAAGGATGGGGTGGTGGTGGAGAGACTATATACTGTATATTATATACACTTAAATATATTAGGATATTTCAATATGTTTCGTTTTCAATCATAACGAGTAAGCCGCCCAGAGTCCCCTTGTGGGGGAGACATCATAGAACAGAACAACGGAGGGGACCCTGGAGGTCATCTAGTCCAACCCCCTGCTCTCCCCCCCCCGAAAAACAGCCCCACAAAGACCATCTCAAAGGGAGGGTCTCCAAAAGGGGTAGATCTGGAGGGTCAATTTAGGGGAGCAATTCAGAACTCCCCACCCCATTCTTCAGTTCCCCCCCCCCGCTCTCCTCCCCCTCCCAGGTCCTGATTGGGTGATGGGGGGTTATGGGGAGGGGGAGTCTTGGTCTCTTCCCCAAATTCAGCCCCCCACAGAACGGATCGAGGCTCAAATCCTGCCTGACCTTCACAGCCTCATAGGGAAAAACCGAAGTTTCTGAAACTGCAAAAATTCTATTTTTCTTCTACTTTTGGTGCCGTTTGTGGATTCAGGAGTGAACCTGCCTCAGTTTCCCTCTTTCCGCCTCCTTCCTCTTTCCAGGCAACGGACTTTGGGGGCTCTGGATCCGGGTCTAATATGGGGCCCGAAAGTTCCCACTCCCACCCAGACACCGGTGGGGGGGGTGAGGGCGGGGTCCGACTGCGTCTCATATGCCTTCCCGCGACCCCCCTCCCCTCCACAATCACCAGGAAGGGAAGACGGCGACCCCTTTGTCCCCCCTGGGCGAAGTGAGGGGAGGGAGGGAGTGGAGACCACGCGGAGATGGAGGCTTCCCAGGCTCCAGCTTCTCTTGCTTCGACCCCTTTCCCTATTACGGGGGTCTCAGCCCCTTTCTTCCCCCCCAGGAGCACTGACGGCCCTTCCCAGCACCTCTCCTCTCCCCCCCACAGCCCCCTCCTAATCGGGGGTCTCCTTTCCCCCTTCGCTTCCGGGGATCCGGCCCAGCGCCCCCACCAGCAGCATCAAGGGGAGCCCAGCAAAAGCCATGGATGCTGCCCCACAAGCGCCCCCACTGGCCAAGGAGAGATTCACTTCCTGACGGGGAGAGTTTGTGGACCTGAACGGACATCTAGTCCACCCCTCCATGCCCACAGAGGAAACTAGATGACAATCCTGAAGAGACCAAAGAAAGTGGAAGGTCCCTTCTGGGGCTGGCATGAACCCCCCTTGAGCTGTGCCCCCCCCCAAAGACTGAAGGGATCCCCCTCTCCCACTCCTCCTTCAGGTGAACTCACAAAGGACTCTGCCCGAAGATTGATGACGCTGCACCGGGGATAAATTCCATTGATGTTTCAGCCCGTTCTGCCCCCTCCCAGCTCAAAAGTCAGAGAAAAACTTATGTTCCTCCTGACACACACGCGCACGCACGCACACAAACGTGTTCATTAAATGTGAAGATTGTGCTGTGGAAACAACTGCCGCGCTGGATGATAAGGGGGAAAGACGCAGCCCCACAACCAGTGAGAAGTTGGGGCCCAATCCGAAGGGAAGCCCCGGAAAACCCTCCGCTAAACCAGGGAAAGGCGTCGCTTCGCTTCAGGGGAGAAAAAGGCGATTCGCCTCCTTGAAAGACGCCTCAGGAAAATCCTGAGGTAAATCTCAAGCAGCCCAGAGAAAAGGCGGGGGAAAAGGGAAACGCCCTCTTTCACCCACAGCAACCAATCAGAGCGCAGATCCCCTCAGGCGGGAGCCCGCCCCCACTCACCCACAACTGGGTTGCTTGGACCTTTGTGCGCTTTCCTTCTCCAGCCATTAAATGGGATGTTTTCACAGATAAAGTGAAAAGACCCAAAATGACTTTGCTTTTGTCCATTACTTTGAATTGTCAGGCTGGAATGGTTTCTTTTTTAAAAATCTTGCACTCTGCTAAAAAGAAATCAGCATCTGCCCCCTCCTTTTTTTTCTCTTGTACCTCAGTCTTTCTTTCTCTTTCTCTTTCCCTTAATTTCCTATTTCTATTTTTGTGTTTTGTATAATAAATAAATAAGATCTTGAGGTTGTAGAAAGAGAGCAGAGAAGATTAACAGATAATCAGAGTTGGAAGGGACCTTGTAGGTCATCTAGTCCAACCCTTCCCCCCTGCCCAAGCAGGAGACCCTGACAATCTCTTCTTAAAGGTCTCAAGTGATGGCACTCCCACAACTTCCGAGGGCAACATCTGTTCCATTGACTGTTTGTTGATTGTTTGTTCTGTCAGAAAGTTTCTCCTTATTTCCAGGTTGAATCTCTCCTTGTTCAGTTTCCATGCACCATTCCTTGTCTGGCCTTCAGGCGCTTTAGAAAATAGCTTGACCCCCTTCTCCTCTGTGGCAGCCCCTCAAGTATTGGAAGACTGCTATCCTGTCTCCCCTAGTCCTTCTCTTTACTAGACTAGTCAAGCCCAGTTCCTGTAACTTCCTTTGTATGTTTTAGTCTCCACTCCCCTAATTGTTAATAGTACTTAGTTCTATAATGCTGAAGAACATTCAATTTATTTCTAATTTAAAGCAGGGATCTAATCTGGTTGCCACTCAAAGGACAACATTTCAGGTGTGGGTGGTTGTTTTTCATAAGCCCATTTCCACCTGGGATTATCTTAAAAAAAGGCAGTGGCTTTACAAAGTGAAAGTCGTGACTATTTGTTTGAACAAGAAATGCACATTCTGGATGAGAAAAAATATTTCAGCAAGAAAATGGATGGAGCATTTTTAAAATCAGTGGAAATTGAAAAGGTTCAATTTGGCATTTTATTGAAAGCAACTTCAACTCGTATAGATTACTTTTAGTAGGGAAACAGACTATCAGATGGCATGAATCATTTTTATGGCCCAACCCAACCCCAAACTTAACGAATTTTAGACAAAAATGTACTGATAACATTTGGAGGTTCAAATTTGATGGGATGGGAGTTGCCAGAGAGATATTTTAATTCACTTCTGGATCCACTAGTGAATCGGAAGAATATTTTTCTTTTCTTTTTAAAGGTCCCCCCAGAGACAAAACTTTCTCCTTCTGTCCATCCAGGAATTGAGGGAGCCCTGGTGCCTGAAGTCCTAAGCCCGGTACAAGGCTTTGGCGACTGGCGCCCCTATCCGCACTTTTGGCTCAAGCAGGAGATCCTATACCATTTCAGGATCTATTGATATTCCTATAGGATCTCTTTCAGACAAGTGACTATCCAGTCTCTTCGTAAAAATGTCCAGTGATGAAACAACCGCAATGTCTGAAGGAAAGCTGTTCCACTGGTTAATCGACTTCACTGTAAGGAAAATTTTCGTTAATTCGAAGTTGCTTCTCTCCTTGATTATTTTACATGCATTGTTTCTTGTCCTTCCCTCTGGTGCTTTGAAAAATAAATTGACCCCCTCCTCTTTGTGGCAGCCTCTCAAGTACTGGAATACTTCTATCAGGTCACTCTCCTAATCCTTTTCTGCAGACTAGCCTCCCCCAAATCCTGCAACCCTATGTTTCAGTCTTCAGGCCTTTAATCCTCTTAGCTGCTCTTCTTTGCACTTTCTCCAAAGTCTAAATATCTTTTTTGTTTTTGTTTTTTTCATTTTAGATTCAACATTGTCTCATTTGGATCAGAAAGGCACAATATGCACACACATACAAATGTATGGAAACATGGTGGGTCAGTGGTTAGAATGCAGTACTACAGGCTAATTGCCCACAGCCAAGAGTTCAATCCTTAACAGCTCATGGTTGATTAAGTTTTTCATCCTTTTGAGGTTGCTAAAATGAGGACCCAGGAGTGGCTATTGCTGTATGGCTTTTTTTACGGGAAATAAGAGTGTGTCTTTTTGTGGCTTCTAAGGCTACTGCTCCAAGCAAAGGTCTTTCCACACTCCATGCATTCATATGGTTTCTCACCTGTGTGGATCTTTTTGTGCCTTTTCAGACCACTATCCTGAGCAAAGTTCTTTCCACACTCCATGCATTTAAATGGTTTCTCTCCTGAGTGGATCTTATTGTGCCTTTTAAGATGACTGTCCTGAGTAAAGGTCTTTCCACACTCCATACATTTAAATGGTTTCTCTCCTGTGTGGATCATCTTATGGGAAATAAGATGACGTCTTTGAACAAAGGTCTTTCCACACTCCATACATTTAAATGGTTTCTCCCCTGTATGGATCATCTTATGGGAAATAAGATGACCCCTTTGAGCAAAAGTCTTTCCACACTCCATGCATTTAAATAGTTTCTCTCCTGTGTGGATCTTTTTGTGGCTTCTAAGGCTACTGCTCCGAGCAAAAGTCTTTCCACACTCCATGCATTTATATGGTTTTTCTCCTGCGTGGATCATTCTGTGCCTTTTAAGATCACTGTCCTGAGCAAAGGTCTTTCCACACTCCATGCATTTATATGGTTTCTCTCCTGAGTGGATCTTATTGTGCCTTTTAAGGTGACTGTCCTGAGCAAAGGTCTTTCCACACTCCATACATTTAAATGGTTTCTCTCCTGTGTGGATCATCTTATGGGAAATAAGATTACGTCTTTGAGCAAAGGCCTTTCCACATTCCATGCATTTAAATGGTTTCTCCCCTGTATGGATCATCTTATGGGAAATAAGATTACATCTTTGAGCAAAGGCCTTTCCACACTCCATGCATTTAAATGGTTTCTCTCCTGTGTGGATCTTTTCATGCCTTTTAAGATCACAGTCATGAGCAAAGGTCTTTCCACACTCCATGCATTTATATGGTTTTTCTCCTGTGTGGATCTTTTTGTCCCTTTTAAGATCACAGTCTTGAGCAAAGGTCTTTCCACACTCCATGAATTTAAATGGTTTCTCCCCTATGTGGATCATCATATGGGAAATAAGATTATGTTTTTGAGCAAAGGCCTTTCCACATTCCATGCATTTAAATGGTTTCTCTCCTGTGTGGATCTTATTGTGCCTTTTAAGGTGACTGTCCTGAGCAAAGGTCTTTCCACACTCCATACATTTAAATGGTTTCTCTCCTGTGTGGATCATTTTGTGCCTTTTAAGAACACAGTCATGAGCAAAGGTCTTTCCACACTCCATGCATTTATATGGTTTTTCTCCTGTGTGGATCTTTTTGTGCCTTTTAAGAACACAGTCATGAGCAAAGGTCTTTCCACACTCCATGCATTTAAATGGTTTCTCTCCTGTGTGGATCTTTTTGTGCCTTTTAAGAACACAGTCATGAGCAAAGGTCTTTCCACACTCCATGCATTTAAATGGTTTCTCTCCTGTGTGGATCTTTTTGTGCCTTTTAAGAACACAGTCATGAGCAAAGGTCTTTCCACACTCCATGCATTTAAATGGTTTCTCTCCTGTGTGGATCATCTTATGGGAAATAAGATTACCCCTTTGAGCAAAAGTCTTTCCACACTGCATGCATTTAAATGGTTTCTCTCCTGTGTGGATCTTTTTGTGGCTTCTAAGGCCACTGCTCCGAGCAAAGGTCTTTCCACACTCCATGCATTTAAATGGCTTCTCTCCTGTGTGGACCATCTTATGGGAAATAAGTATACCTCTATAAGCAAAGGTCTTTCCACACTCCATGCATTTATACGGCTTCTCCCCTGTATGGCTCATCTTATGTAAAATAAGATGACTTCTTTGAACAAATGTCATTCCACAATCCATGCATTTATATGGTTTCTCCCCTGTGTGGATTCTTTCATGGATAGTAAGTGTATTGCTATGAGCGAAGGTCTTTCCACACACCATGCATTTATAGGGTTTCTCTCCTGCGTGAATCTTTTTGTGGGTTCTAAGTCCATTGTCATGAGCAAACATCTTTCCATATTCCATGCATTTATATGGTTTCACCCCTGTGTGGATCCTTTCATGGATAATAAGTGTATTGCTATGAGCAAAGGTCCTTCCACACTCCATGCATTTATAGGCTTTCTCCCCTGTGTGGATCCTTTCATGGATAGTAAGTGTATTGCTATGAGCAAAGGCCTTTCCACAGTCCATGCATTTATAGGGTTTCTCTCCTGTGTGGATTATCTTATGGGAAATAAGATGACTTCTCCGAGCAAAGGTCTTTCCACACTCCGTGCATTTATAAGGTTTCTCTCCTGTGTGGATCCTTTTATGATAAGTAAGTGTACTGCTATGAGCAAAGGTCTTTCCACACTCTATGCATTCATATGGTTTCTCCCCTGTGTGGATCGTTTTATGGATAGTAAGTTGCCTGCTTGTTCTAAAACATTTTCCACAATCCAAACATCTATAAAGCTTCTCTTTTGTGTCAATCACTTTTTGAGATGTAAGGAAGTTATTTCCAAGAGAAAGAATTAAAGTCCCATTGTAATTCTCTCCATTGTGTCTTCCTATAGCACCTTCTCCTTTGTTTTGGGTTAAATATTGTTCATTTACTTGTACTTCAGCTTTGATTAGGTTCACACTTTTTCCAGTATATTTTTTCCTTATTTTCTCTTGTTGTGCAAGAAAGTCTTGCATTGGAGCTTCACTGGAAGATGAGCTTTCCTGATTCCAATTCTTTGACTGGTTTCTCTCATGGCTTTCTAATTCCATTTGAATTCCAAACTTCTCCATTCTTTCTTTAGCACTGATCACTTGGAACAGTTCACAGGAATCTTGATTCTCCTGCCCATTATTACCTTCAAAGCAAAAGGGAGATGAAAATGATAACAAGGTTAGAGAAAAATATCAAAGTGTAGAAAGTCAAGTGAATTTCATTCTGAATTTCTCCGAAATTCCATTAGGTTGTATGTTTGCATGCCTACAGTAGTGTTATATAGACATGATGATTTCTATGTTCATGAGTCAAGAACGCTTTGAAAATATCTAAAAAATATCTCTTTCCTTGCAATGATCTATAGAAATGCAAATCTCACTCAGAGTATGTTTTGAGTTAAGGAATAATCAGGGGAAACATCCAAGAAGGGATTAGGAGAAAACTTAAGATTTATTGGGGTGGGTTAATTTTAGCAGAGACCTGTGAGAAATGAAACAATTTTGAAACAAGCTCCTTCTTCTCCGGTGTACCTTGGAGCAGCTGCTCCATGGTGTCCATCTGGCGGGCAGGACCCCCATTCTGTCTGTTCCTTGATCCCAGCGATGAGATTTTAGAGGTAAATCCCTTCCTGAAGACTC